CTCTGAGCCATGGTCCGCTGCGCACGTCGTAGCAGGACCATGTTCTCCCTGCTCAGGGGCCTCGTCGCCCATATGGGCGCTCCGTAGAGCGAAATTTAATCAAGTTCGGTTCTGTTAATTTGGGTACAAATATCCATCCATCCACTTTCGCATTTATAATATTAGTAAGGTTACCTGATCCAGATTATATTAAAAATTATCTTTTTTTATGCTTTCAATTAATTTAATTTAATTAAACAATTAAAATGTCAATATCTAAATGCTCTAGTGACAATGATGGTAAGCTATTGGCTTGTATTTTTTGTCCCTTATGTATTACATGATATCCAATGTTGAAATTAAATGTTTAAAGCAATAAAACGAAAATTTGATTGATAATAAATATACATTTGCTATTATACCTACACTTTATACATAACAAATATATTTACAGTATATAACATTTATTTAATTTCTGCTGGCATTTTAGTATCATTTAATGCAGCAAGTATGTTTTGTGCAGTTAGCTCACTCATTGTATTCCTAGCTTCAATTGAAGCACTACCTATATGAGGCAGAACAATGCAATTATCTAGCTTAAATAGTGGACTATCTAATGGTAGGGGTTCAGGAGTGGTCACATCTAAACCCGCAGCTCTGATAGTGTTATTTTGCAAAGCCTCTATCAACGCATTCTGATCTACAGTCCCACCTCGGCTTGTGTTAACGAAAATAGCTGTCTGTTTCATCTTCTCAAACGCAGCTTTGTTAAATATTTCCTTAGTTTCTGGTACTAATGCACAGCAACATATCACGAAGTCACTCTCAGTAAGCAATTCATCAAACGTAACTTTAATTGCACCAACTTCTTTAGCCTCGGGTCTCTCACTTCTGTTGAAGTAAAGAATTTTCCCTGTGTTGAAAGATTTCACACGTCTAGCGACCGCTTGGCCTATTCTCCCGTATCCAACGATTCCTACAGTAGCACCAGCAAGCCCTGGTCCTGTCATCCATGTCGGAGCCCAGGATACCCAGCCGCCAGTTCTCGCTTCATTTTGCGCTTCGGGTAAACGTCTTGATGTGGATAAGAGGAGTGCTAACTGAAAAGCATAAAAAGTAAAATAAAAATAACACTTTTTGTATATTAGATTACTTTTATAATAGAAAAACAAATTAATATGCTAAATGAATAGCTATGCCTATTGCCATTCAAAAAGGAAGTAGCAAAATGATGTTGCCACAATTTTACATTCACAAAGGCCATAGACACAAATAAAATTATTTAAATCCATTAGTTGAATGAACACAAAGAAATAACTATTATATATCATTTAATAATTTTTTGCCCCAATCTTCTACTTTGTAAGGTCTGTATTGTGACTTTAAAGGTATATGAATGAATACCGTGAGTTCAGCAGTAGCATCAGTCAAGACATCTGGAGTATACCCAATCCGGATGCCTCGTTTCTTACACTCCTCCAGATCAATATGGTCATGGCCCACAGATATGGTGGCCACCACCTTCAGACCAGGACCAGCCGCATCTAGCAGTTCTTTATCTATTTTATCAGTGAGTGAGCAGTAGATTCCGTTGGCACCAGATACATGTTTCAGTAATTCTTGTCTTGGGCATGGTGATGGTTGTTCCCACATCCTTAAATCACACCTGAAAATAGTTAAATGTTAAATTACTGAATTACAAAAAAATACTTGTGTTTTTATGACCAATCTAAGCTGAAAGTTGTAAAAATTATGCTTATATTCATTACAATTTATAGTCAATATGAATTAACTTAAATTACTGGAATGCAACCTTATTACCTTGATAGCTTTGTGCACTCAGTACAAATATTTGTTTAGCAAGGCATCAGTATTTTATCTTACTAGTTACTCTATCTCCCTGCCAAAAAGGTTTTATATTAATAACTTGTGGACTCATGTTAACTTCTTCTATACAGGTTATTCATTTGTTAAAGAGGAACAAGATGGCAGGCGTGTAAAAAAACCTTCTTAAAGATGTTTTAAATGAAGAATAATGTAAAACTTACTGTTTCTTGAGTATTTCTATGCCACATTCCGGCATATCAGATCGGGTGATGTAAACCTGGTGTTTTCCGGTACTCATTGTTCTGACGAAGTTGTTTGCGGCACCTCTTCTGATCAAATAAGGCGCAATGGCTGTCAACACGCCTTTATACCTCATGAATGGATAGTTTTTACGTATTGATTAAATTAGATTTTTTTGACAGTTGTCAGTTTCCGTACCAAGTCTAGCGAAAGGTCATTCTGATCTATGGCAAATACTTCGGCGGTGCTTCAATGGACTTTTTTTCAGTGGTGTCCTTGAAATATGACGGCTTCGCAACGTAAATTGCAAGATGTAAAGCAAACACAGTGGCAAGGATGATTTTGCCTTTACTCGACTTTAAGAATGACAAACGGCCGGACATAATACTTAGATAATTACTACTAGAGGTTAAACGAGCTATCAACCAATTATCAATATATTCTTGAAATTTTTGTTAACCTTGAACTTTCATAATACTATTTACTTCCCCTTCCCGCGTGATACAAGTGTCAATGCCATTTTGACAACTGTCAATTATGAAGTTTTTAAGGTAAACAAAAACAAGAAAATGTTTTTTGAACCATACAGCCAAAAGATTTTAATATTGAAGCATTTCTTCTATTTATTTTTATTTTGCAGTATCAATGAATATAGAGTATCTAGGCGTATTATTAAACGATTTTTTTTATTTTATACATCTTTAAATACTTGACATGTTGAGTCGTAACTCAACTAAACTACAATGGATCGTAATCCCTTGTAGTTTAGTTTAGTATAGTTTATAGTATAGCTTCTTTCCATACATTAAACTTTTCTAATCAATCGTTTTATATTACCCTTGTAAATAATTCCGCAAAACGGTATATTTAATGTTTAAAACTATTACATTAAAATTACAATCAACTGCAGCACAGTAACAGTAGTAAAACAATTTAATTCATCTCATTTGCATGTGCTATTTGTACGAGTATAGCTGTCATTTCCAAATATGGCATTAAATCAGATGGATTATTGCGGCGTGCAAATCTAATTAAGTAAACACTCGACCGAATCTTATTATTCTTACAATTGACGCTAATTCGTGGTTACGAATCGCAGTTTTACCGCGCCCGCAATAAACCGGCCGAGTAATTATTTTCGCCACGAAAATTAATTAACAAGATTAGTTTTATGCGAGACTTTCATACCGAAGTCGAGATATCCAGCCGGCGGCAGTTCTCGTGCGGATTTCATTATGTGCGTTGTTACTTTCATCTCGTTATATCTATTTCTCAATACATGTTAGTTATACTTTTTAATTATCATCATGGGCGTAGTAACATTCTTACATTACAGTCGTTATGAATTGTTTAACATTTTAAACATAATTTCTCTTGTTAATTTTAACTGTTTTAAGATTTACACTAAGATTTGTATCGACTAGCTTAGTACGTTTATAAGATAGTTAAACTCTTATTACCTGGATATCTGATCTGAATTTAAAAGGCAACAAAAACTGTAAAACTACTTTTTCACTTCCTAGGCAAAATTTTGTTCTTTTTTAACAGCTTTGGGGTGGGCTTATTAGGTTTATTTGGGACTGTGTAATTCGCAGACTTTTGACAGATTTGGTGCCTCTTTCTGTTCAGCGCCCTGGGTGGTCGCTCAAACATGCCCTGGGCTAACGCCGGTATTGGTAACACAGTAGGGACGTTTTGAACCGGGTATGCAATGATTGCTGGTGACAGACTAATTACACCATTCTGATTTGTGTATTTGTTCCGTGGATTACATATTGAGCGCCCAATAAGTTCGTGTCTTTCTATGATTCACATCTGCTTGTACCCAATAAAACTATTATTTTTTATACCTCACAATTGCAATACAATGATACGTTATATAAAAATAACATTTAGAACCTTTTAACATTTTCCTTACAAAATTAAAAAATCGTATTTTACTTCGCTTTATCTCATAATTTCCATTAAAATTCCGCTAAAATAAAAATAATTTTAAATGTAAAGATTTTCTCTGGTAACATTATTTAGAAAATGATCTTATCTAACAAAAGTGATATAATTCTTTTTGATTTATGATTTAGATTTTCTTAAGAATTTTAATATTTATTCCACAATAAAGAAAAACATAAAACTGATAACAAGTTACTATTTAACACGCTCTTGGTACAACTTTCTCAATTTTCCTGAAGTTTCGCAATAATACTAAATGAAAATAACTGTTTTTATTTACATATAAGAAAATAAGTTACCGATTCAATTTAAATTTATAAGAAACTAGCAGTTCCAGTGCGACTTCATCCGCATGAAATGTCAAAATTCAAATGCACAAATGACTATTGCTTCCTTGATGTTGGTAGCAACTTATGGTCTCTTTACCACATTAGGATTTTTATCCAAAATATTTACCCCCTAAGTTTAATGCCGTGAAAATATATAGCCTAAAGCGTAAATGTAAATGTAAACGTAAATGTAGGGCTAATTATTAAAAAAGAACTATTTAAAAACATGCTGTAATTGCTGACATCTTAGGCAACAAAGTGTGTGTTTACGTTTTATTATTATAGCATAGTATAGAAATAAAAATTAAATGCTTTTGACTTTCCATTAACGGTATCCATTCGTTAAAAAAAGAATAATAGCCAAATTGATTTTCCCAGTTCAAAGATTAGTTGTTTATGTTTTATACAGTATAATAAATACTTGACTGTAACTCTCAAATGCAATATTAATAGGAATTTCACATGTGAAAGATAACGTACGAAATTATCAAGCCGTCTTTACAGTAAGTATGTATTGCTTGATATAACGCAGCTACTTTCTATTTAGTAATTAGAAGATTCGCACACGAAAGTCGATGTTATTTACTAACGCGACAAGAGTGCGCGGTGCGCGGGAAATGCCAGATTAATTATGTCCGCGAGCAAAAACGGAACGTTCTTAACTTTTTAATTTTCGCTTTATACAGGGTTGTCATTATTTTGTATCTGTATCGACAACAGATAATAGTAATATTTTATTTTTTATGTTACAGTTCAATAATGTAATCTATTAGTCCAATTCTCACGTAACGATTATCCGTTTCGTTACACTCTGGCTGAGCTATCGGCGTTAACGGTGGTCGGTCGGTTAACCGGACTGTTACCCGGACTAGATACAACGATTGTATAATGACAGGAAAAATAGTGCGTGTCTTATGAACTATTGATATGACTTTATTATAGACTAAATATGTAGACTAGAATTTTTTAGCGCCAGTTACCGCGGGCATTTCTAGTGGGCAGGGGATCAGAGAGTTGGCTGCCCTCCATAACTACGCCTAATAAAGCCGTATTTTCCCCAAAGAACGAGCGTATTATGCGGCTGACGCCCATTTCAGTAACTGATAAATCGGCGGTGAATTCAAGCTGTGCTTTTTATCAACGGAAATGACCTATATGTTTTTAAAAATAAACCATATAGTTAGGCAGTAGACAAAGCACATTATTTTCATCTAAATTATATGCAATCATTTGTCATTTTTTGATATTACAATGACTCATAACCAAAAATATTAATACTGATTGGCAAACGATTCTAGTATTTAATACTATAGAAATAAGGGTTATAAAAGTTTAAATGTAGACACGGTTGTAACAAACTCAACAGCGCGTATATCCCTTTTCAGAAGGTCTTTACCAAGGCTTTAATTGTTTTTATTGTTTGCACATGTACAATAACGAGTCATATATGATCAGTGTTAAAATTTCGTAATATAGAGAACAATCAAGTCAAGGGTCATCTCTCACCAATCTATGGTTAGTCTAGTCTTTATCTTTCAGACAATGGTTTCATCACCATCCCCTTGTCTGTCACATTTCGACCATAGACGTCAGTTGGTTTGTCAACTCATTGTTTGGTGACATTAGCGGAAAAACATTCCGATTGCAGACAAAACGGTTACGACATTTTCGCTATTGTAACTTTATTTGTTTGTTCATTTGTTATTGTTATTTTTGATTCGAAGGGACTCGAGCCGACCACGCTGGCTCACTGCGGTATGTGGCTCTAATTGCATGTCAAAAAAAAAGAGAAGTATAATAAAGCGTGACTTCGTTGATGGTGTTTAATGTTCGCAAATGGATACTCGTGATTCCAATCATGCTGTATTTCAAGTGGCTGTATAATATAAATCATTGAGGTCTGTAGCTATGTCACATGCCTATGACTGGATGTCTCGATTAGAGCGAGCTCACACCGTTGACTAAACTATCGGACAACTGTTGTGCGATTGTCGATTGTTTCGCAGCTGTTTAGTTGCACAACTAAAAATCGAATTTTGCTTTTACTCTTTTTTAAATTATTTAGGTCTTTTTCAGTCCGTGAACGTTATAATATTACAGATCAACGTTAAATATCGAAGATAAATAATTTTTATTAAACGTTAAATAACACGTTACGAAACTTACGCTGTACACGATGTTATTTTATCTTTAACTATTGTTTTTAAAGTACAGTCAGTGTCACAAGCACAAGTATCTATACTATTATAATAAAGCGTAAACACACACTTCTTTGTTGCCTTAGATGTCAGCAATTACAGCATGGTTTTGAATAATTCTTTTTTTAATAAAAAGCCCTACAATTGTGTCACGCTTTAGGCTATATAATTTAACGCCATTAAACTTAGGGGGTAAATATTTTGGATAAAAACCCTAATGTGGGAAAGAGACCATAAGTATATAACAATATACAACTATACAACACACACGCATCAGCTAACTGGCTGCTAGTGTGTCACCCAAAATAATAATAAATAATAATAATAATAAGTTGCTGCCAACACCAAGGAAGCAAGGTTGTCACCATGTCATGTCATTTTGACATTTGCAATTGATAATTTGATACATGTAAACAATAAAATAAAATTTTCATAAATTTATGCGGATGAAGTCGCACAGGAACAGCTAGTATAAAATAGAAACAAATATTCTACCTTTCATTAAATTGATTTATAATTTAAAATATTCAAACTAACTGGCAGTATGTAACATTCTGTCTACAATCTTACAATCAATTTTATTAAAATTAAAACGATGAAATTAAGATTTCTGACGCGGAGTGTACGTAATTAAACACCTGTGCAATTTGACGCGATGTTTTTGGCACAGATTAAAAAACCTGCTGCTGTTCGTCTTCCTTTTATTTTATTCAAATTACATAATGGTGGTATAATGAAACAGACTGTTATTTTGCGATTGCAATTTTATAATGTAAATAAAAATTAACTTTTATAGTTATAGTTAGTTTAAAAATATGACTTTTAATAAAGTCTACATACGTTCAGTACTTTTAGTATAAACATGCCATACTTTTTGGGTGTTTTGTGTGTACTATTTTTCGGTCAACCCATCAATTATGGATTTAAACACGACCTGATCCAGATCCATCGATCATAATTTAAATGGGAGCGACTTTAAATTCGTTATAAATAGCTTACATAAAATGTTCGACCTACTTCAAATGGTAAAAAATTTCGCGGAAACTTTTCAACTTGTTACTAATGGTCAGTAACTTTAATATAATTCAGATAAGCTTTGCTTAAACGTTGGATGACAATAGGCAAATGTTTGAACACACTTTATAATTTCCGTCAAACTAAACTTGAAAGATATCTATGGTGAGCTGGTACGAAGTTTATTACTGCTAATGAGAAAAAAATGTTTTTTTTTCCGTAAGCAACATTCGTGTAATCAGTGAGTATATTTTAAAAATTGCATGTTAGACGATAACTGATGTTATACAGTTCTTTATGAGAGAAATTATTGCAGGCCTGTGTACACATCTGTCAGTGTGTTACAAATTCGCGATATACCACGAATGGGCGGAAGCGTAACGGTTTTATTCTGCAATTGTTTACAGTAAAAAAATATTTTTAATATTTTAGGGTATGGTGTTTTTATTCTAATCCATTTATAAATTGGTTCATGCAATTATCTTGATATATTTGGGTGGACAGAAATAGGTGCTCGTTGCCCCCTTTCATCAAGCTATTTAGGCCGTGAATTCAGGAGTTAGTTTAGTGAATCGCCAAATGACTGACACAATTAACTTTCTTAATTATAAATAGATTTAGTGTTTGTTTCTCGATTCTTAAAAAAATGAACCCGTATGCACCCGGATCCATATTCTATAGGAATAGTTACATTATATTTCGTTGTGTAGGATGTTAGTATTACCGGATGGAAATGTAGAGAATTTATGTTACCCGCAGTGATTACTTTTACACCATTACTGCATTAAACACATTTACTGATTACATCAAATGTGTAATCTATACAGAAATTATCTTTATTTGCGTTGAGAATGGAACAATATCGCCGCAAAGCGAAGGAAGCGTTTTCTCGTTTCTGAACGAACGCGTCAACGTCATTCGCTGTCAGTCGCCGGAGAGCGCGCAGTCGCGTCGCGTGTGCTCGTGTTTTGTAAATTTAAATTCAACGGAATTGTTAGATTTATAAATACGCCTTCAAATTATTGAAGAAATAAGACGATAATAAGTGTATCAGTGTGTGCTTTTGTGTTTTAAAGTTTTGTGAAGAGAACACTGTACACATTTATTGTTTATTCTGCTGAAGTTGAGAATTGTGAGTATACGATAAACTTTCCTTTTTTGATTTCGTTACCAAAACAAAACTTCGCACGATGTTGTTACAAATGTTTTTTGTAAATAGAAACTTAGTTCCTCGGGTTGAGAATACGTAAATAACAAAGATATATTTTTATAATTTATTTTTAAAAGACAAAAACTTAGGAATTGAACAAATAATATTTTATGGAGAGGAAATTATTCCCTTCTAATTAAATCTGGTATTATTCTAAAGTACAAGTAGTTTGAGTTTGATCTAAACTGTTTTAGTAACTTTAATTTAAATAGAAAAGTATTACTCAAATGTTACCAAGGTCCAGATGTGCTGCACATGCATTTTAAAGTTACTGGTCCGAGGTTGAGATTTGGGAAAGCTGTAATCTTCAGTACGAGTACTTTACACCTGAATGTGATCAGATATTATTTACGCAATTGAGATTAAAAAAGCACAAAACGATATTTTCATTGCGTTGCGACGTAAAAACTAAATATTATACATTTTTTATAGTTAAATTCAGAAGAGATTGTTTTATCGCCATAATTTTGACATGGTTTCGCATTTCCGACCTGACTGATCGTATCGGTCAAGCTAGCTACATACTCCTGGTTTTAACTCAACATAATAAATTATTAGCAATCGCCCGCGACTGCGTCCGCTTTAAAAAAAAAGGCTAAGTAGCCTATGTATTCTTCCAGACTATACATCCATGCCAAATTTCATCGAGATCCATTTAACCGTTTAGGCTACAAACTCTAACAAACATCCATCCATCTATACTTTCGCATTTGTAATTAAGGGCGGATTCAGCTTTGGCGCCAGGGGGGGGTCACATATAGTGGTCAAGTAAAGAGCTTGACAAAATATGTAAATACATTTTTGCAAACTTTTGACCAACCAGCTCAGGGGGGGGGGGGTCATGACCCCTATGACCCCCCCTGGATCCGCCGTTGTTTAAAATATTAATAAGTTAACTGTCAATTGGACTATATATAGTTAAATTTATACCTACATACGCATTTATAACTGAACAGTCTGTTCGGAACTGAGCGTTTGTATTTGGCTTCTCGCAGCAAAACGTGATAAATTAATACCATTCGAGTTTAAAAAATAAATTCTAGATTTCGCATAGCTGGTGTTGCGAAATTGTAACACATTTTTATCGGCATAAAGTAACACAGTTGGAAATGACCAATTACATTCAGGTCACGTGTGCGCGTATCAAATACAAATTGTTACATTTAATCCGAGCTTGTTACAACGCGATTATGTAACATTGACTTTGTAACGTGCTATTGATGTGTGTAACATTACAGCATTTTAAGGTATTTTGTATGTATGAAAGAAGAAGCCCAACGATTTCCCTTACATTTGAATAGTCCGGACATAACACAAAGAGAATTTCGATTATCGATATCGCATAGAATCGATATTTATTCGTATTTAATGCGAGTAAATATTATATCATCAACATATTCATTTATAAGATATTATAACAGGTCCGATTTATTCCTTTGTTAATGCATATTGCGTTTGTCGCATTATAACAAGGAAATTAACTGCGTTAGCGTTTGTCATATAGGACTATTTCAAGGTTTTAAACAACATTGTATGCGTTCTTATATTTCTATATTATTATTATAAAGGAAAAAACTATAGGATGGATGGATGGTCCACTCGACACTGGCCCAATCCGCTAAGAGAGTGCCATAGACAAGAAACTGAAATGAACTGGATGAATCTCGACGAAAGTTAGGATATCTATGCCAACTTTCATCCTATTATATCCTAAGAACACAGGGTACACGCTTTTGTCATTTTTAATACGACTCAAACGGAGTCACGGGCGAAAGCTAGTACCTATATTCTCTTATCTCTTTTCCCAAAGGAAATAAGGTTGATAAGGTACTTTTAAATGGGTGTTCCGAAAAGCCACTGTTTGAATTTAAATGTTGTATAAAAAGGCATAAAAAATATTAGTGTCATAGATAAAATTTCCGATTCCGATTACCGGATTTTGCGAACTGTGTTTTTAGTATTTTTATAATTTAGATAACATTATTAGTAATCAATGTTTATATTTGAATGTGTCATATAATTTACCGAATTGCAGTAAATACCCGACTTTATCTCATGAGTGAACAAATAGGGTGTTTTCGTAAACATGCGTTATTAGTTGGAGATTACGATTGATAAGATAATGTGGATGTCGGACTGACTTGAGATTTGAAAACGATATATTAAGATGTTTTCACACGAGGGAAGAAATAGTAACGTAACGTACTGGTAATATTTCCACGCACACTATCTGTTTAGTCTGCGTGTTGAACAATAGCAATAGTGCACTGTGTTGGTCCGCCTATTCTACCTTCGTGTGAATAGTGCATATTGTTTATACGTTTATAGGGTTACTACTAACCCTGTAGTAATGGGTATTTTTCATCAATAAAGAATGTTTACCATATTGGAATGGTTAATATATCGTTGTAAACCATGCCGCTATATAGCGTTAAATAAGGCTATGTACACATTTAAAAATAGTCAAGAGTACTTTCAATTTCAATGAGAACATTCTTTGTTTTAGGTTCAAGGGTAGAATTCTTCGTGAACAGCTCCGAAGTAAATATTAGCGCAATTGTGGTACTGTTTAAGTGATATTAATCTTTATGACAAAGGGAATAGGGTTTAAAATGAATAACTTGCAGTGAGACAAAGCATGCTGCGTTGCGTTGGGTTTATTTTGTAATGCTAGGGTAGCCTTCTAATTAGTAGATGTCAGACAGTCCTGATTAAATGAAATTATTTTGATAAAATATTGGTTTGTAGCTATTTCCTTGTCAATGTGTGCTTTTTTACTGAAAATTTTATTCTATTGTTTCAATCTACATTTTAAACTTAAAGAAAAAAAAAACTTTTACATTTATCTATTTAAAAACAAAAATGAGAACATCAGCCATGACTTACAAACAGACAGGTGACTGATAAGATAGTGAAAGTTGATAAATTGTTTTACTTTAAAGATTTATCTGCGACAATGGTTTTAAAGAAGTCAAGGAACGACATCATTTAAATATGACAGCCCTGACATCTTTAGTACTTTAAAGTACACTCTTATTTTATTCTTAAACAAAGAATAAAGAATTCTGGGGCAAGTTAAATTCAAGCTTATTTAAAGATGGGCAATATAACGGATTATGAAATCTTACCAAAACAGTCTTTTACGCAATCATAGGCATAGGTGTAACCTATAGGCATCGCTAGCTCATTTTTTTTACGACGGCTTCGGGCCGCCCTCTTGTTCCCCTAACACATTTTAAGTTAGGGACCTGGGTGGCGGGTGTATCTTTATTTCTTTATTTTTAGATCTAGGCAAAGTTAGGTATAGGGGGTCTACTATCGACTAATATGGTGTTATTCGAAGTTGTTTTTATATCTGCTTTACATTTTTATTCTCTGGGAAAGGGGGGATTTATCGTAGCTTAGTCTACGTGTGCTATCCCTGCGATGCCTATGGTGTAGGTGCACTGACAAAGTCTGCTCTTCATACATCAAAAAACTTAAAAAAAAAACATACAGACGAATTGAGTACTTCCTTCTTTTGGAAAGTCGGTCAAAAACAAAGGTCACATGATATGTAAAATCATGTGACTATATTTATCTCAGTTGAGATTTAGATAACCTTGAAGTGTACACTAGTTGAATAGAATTTCTACTTTCTTGTTGAGATTATTTATTTGGTCAAGGTAATTTCTCTTGAATTTCACTAAATGAAATCGATTTTTTTATCAATTTTGTATATCTATAGCTGTTTTACATCTTATTTTAAAGGTTGATTCCTAGGTAACGTGGAAAAAGACATTTTTGTCCTAATATTACATGATGGTCACCCTATCGATATGGCATTTATGGGCGCTGTCCCGCTCTCTTGCTTGAGCCGGTATTGCTTGCGGGCTGGCTTTGTTCAACAAATTGTCGCCTCAAATATTGTCCCAAAGATTGTTGCTTTGTTACTACGCTGCCTTTCAATCTTATCGGATCCATTGTCATCGAATACCTATCGTCTGAACTCCATTCGAATGGAAGTTACGCAACGAAATGTGAAATGGTTTGTTTTCATACATTTAAAATTAAGCACTTGTTTGTGTTTTTAAAATACTCACTGCCACAATCCAGTCACATTAGCTCCTTTGCAAACAAGTACAAACTAAATCAATATTTATTGTGCTATACTAAAGGAACCCTTAGTGACCATTTAGACAGTTATTTAAAATATTCCGTGATTTGAATGACAGGAAATGGTGTATGTGCGGTTTACACAAACACTGTGCTTTGAATAATAAACAATGTTTTTTGCCTTTATGCTCAGTGTATATTTAAACCTTATATTAATTCTGGACATACCAAGAATTTTAAAAGGATTTAAATATTTGAAGTCGACTTTATTTGATACTTTTTCATACAGAATTAAAAGGATTTAGAGAATTTTATTACATTTAATTTTAACTTAATTTGTTTTTTATCCTCAAGTAATATAACCGAATGCCTTGGCTCAGTGGTTTAAGCACTTGACTTCTAATCTACAGGTCTTGAGTTCGAATCCCGCCGTGTTATTTTCGATTTTTCGAATTTTCATATATACATAACTTACCCCACGTTCTTACGGTGAAGACAAACATCGTGATGACCTGCACATATTAGCAAAGAAATTCAAAGATATGTGTGAAGTCAACCCGCAATGAGCCAGCGTTGTTGTCACCTTAACTTAGGGTAAGCTCCGAGCCCCTCGGTGGGGACGTTCAGTGGTCTGGTAATGATGATGAACATAACCGAATACCATGTTGATGTCAAATATGTGACGACCCTAAGTTTACTTTAAGTTGATTATTTTAAATGGCGTTCGCTTTCCCGTGCTTATGTAACTGATGTAACCAACAACGGGAAGTTGGTGAGTTGAATACCAATTTACGATAAGCTCCTGTGACTTCGGTTACGTAGAAACT